CTACTACTACTACTACTACTACTACAACTACTACTACTACTACTACTACTACTACTACTACTACTACTACTACTACTACACGACTACTACTACGACTACTACTACGGCTACGACTACGACTACGACTACGACTACGACGACTACTACTACTACTACTACTACTACTACGACGCCGACTACTACTACTAACTAACTACTTACTCTAACAACAACTACTACTACGACTACTACCACTACTACTCTACTACGACTACAACAAACTACTACTATTACTACTACTACTACTACTACTACTACAACTACTGCTACTATTGCACTACTACTACTACTACTACTACTACTAACAACTAAACTACTACTACTACTAAACTACGACTGCTACTACTACTACTACACTACTACTACAAATACTACTACTACTCTAATACTACTAAACGAACTACCTAACGACCTACTACTACTAACTACTACTACACTATCTACTACTACTACTACAACTCCAACTACTCTACTAACACTACTACTACTACTACGACAACTAACTACACTACTACTACTACTACTACTACTACTACAACTCTAGTCTACTACTCTCATTGCTACTAACTACTACTCTAACTTATACTACTACTACTACTACTACTACTTCTACTACTACTACTACTACTACTACTACTACTACTACTACTACTACGACTACGACTACGACTGCAACTACGACTACGACTACGACTACGACTACGACAAACTACTACGACTAACTACTACGACTAACTACTACGACTAACTACTACTACTACTACTACTACTACTACTACTACTACTACTACTACTACTACTACTACTACTACTACTACTACTACTACTACTACTACTACTACTACTACTACTACTACGACTACTACTACTACTACTACTACTACTACTACTACTACTACTACTACTACTACTACTACTACTACTACTACTACTACTACTACTACTACTACTACTACTACTACTACGAAGGTGGTGGTGGTGAGAGCGAAGAGACGTGGCAGACGGAGAGAGGAGGTCCTGTCCCCGCCCCTATAATGAGGGTGCCGCCGGTGCGCTGGGCAAGGACCTGCTGGGCACCCTCAGAGGCGCCCCCGCGCGTCCCAGCGTGATGCCTCGCGCCGCCTTTTTCAGTCCCCCCTTCGCCGCCCCTTCAGGAGGAGGACGACGAAAATGATGAGTAGGAGGATGAGGGAGATGAGTACGGGAGATGTGGAGGCGGCGGAGGAGGAAGGTCTTGGAGGCCTTGTTGGGTTCGTGGTTTTTAGGCGTTTTGTCGGAGGGGGAGGAATGCCAATTCTTCAGGTCTCCATGATTCTGCTCCTCCTGATCTTCTAACCCATCCTTGCCACTCTTCCCCTCCTCCTCCTCCTCCACCTCTTCCTCCTCCTCCTCTCCTCCTCCTCCTCATCTTCCTCCTCCTCCTCTCCTTTCTCTTGTCATCCATTTCCTTTTCAACTGCCTCGGCTTGGATATAAGGGTCGTATCGTGTAGGCCGCGTTCCGAACCACAAGTTGCATAGGAGCGCAGCTCTCGATCAATGATGAAGAACACGCAGTCACTGCGTGCATTAGAAGTAAACAGAATGGCGAAAAACATGTGATATGCGAAGACGCCCACTGGGCACAGCGTCGTGCACAACGGCAAACGGTCCCCACACCCCCTTCGCTCCAATTCGCCTCCGTTGCCACTCCATCAGGAAAACGCTGTCCCCCCCACCGAGGGATGTCCAGCTGCTGATTGCAGACCGTGGGATGTCCAGCTAAGTTTGCGAGAAAGCTTGTCGAACATTGGAAAGCTGGCGCGCTAACCTGCGAGCAGTTAGCCTGGCATCGGTTCTCGTTCACATAGTAGTTGCTGTCGAAGGATTAGCTGCCTCCGTATGGTCACGACTGCGGTCTCCTCAACCTCTCCAGCCTCTACCTCGAACCTCCAGCTTCAACTGTCAAGAAACCCAGGATCGTCATACTACTGGTGGAAGGGCCTATGAGGAGATGCCCTTCGCCTTGATGTGGGCCTTGACACTGTAAACGGGAAATCAGCGATAGTCTCCGCCACGATATCACGAGCAGGGGAGTAAGAGGATCAGGGATGTGGCTAATGTTGAAAGCTTCCAGTACCTGGCACTCACAGTGGCAACTAGCGATTGCATGTGAAGTGCTTGACTCTAGCAGTGGGAGGAATGCGACCTTTTAAAGTGTCGCTCTGAGCGCGGTTCTGTCGAGAACGTCCAATGCACTGGCCCTACGGCGGCGGCCCTTGCTTCGAGTGCCTAAACACGTGCTTCAATGAATGCTTTCTCCTTGCTCTCCTCCCACTCCTCCCGTCCTGCCCCCCGCTCTGCCACACTGCAGTGCGGCTGTTCACAGAGACGGCGGGTAAGAGATACCTGAGTAAGGAGTTGCCGAAGTGGGGACGGGAGGGGGGAACTGCGAGGAGAGGATGAATACTCCTGCGGCGAGGC